ATGTTAATTTCATTTGAAAATCTCACCAAATGGTGTGAAAGTATTAAGATAACAACACCTTCTATATATTTATCACCTTAGCTTCTAAGAAGAATGACTAAAAAAAATCTCTTATTTTTTGAAATTCATAACTTGAAAATTAAGAATATTTTGGAAACTAAAGAAATCCATCTAAAATCATACAAATATTTTAAATAGATAAAAAATTGAAAACAATAATTCTGGCTAAAAGTAAATATATGAGAACATTGAGATTTGGATAAATTTGAAGTTTCATGAAAGTTCACATTGTAAGCAAATTATATTTAAAAACAAACAAATTCTGTATTTTTAAAATATTTTTAATTGTAGACTGACACTATATTTATTTTGTTTATTTAGTCTTTTTTTTTTTTTTTAATGTGGTGCTGGGGCTCAAACCCAGTGCCTCATGCATGCTAGGCAAGTACTCTACCACTGAACCACAACCCCAGCCCCAAATTCTGTGTTTTTAAACTCTCTTTTCAGTTCTTGTAACATGTTGGATCTAGACTGCTCTTTTAAGTTAGGAGAAATTTTTTGGATCGTTTTAAATTAAATCAGCATGAACAGTCCCTTTGCTTTCCTAAAATATTTAAAAATTGAATGTTTTATTTATCAGTTGGTTGAAATAAAATTCTAATTCTAATCCTATACAATTCTTGTACTATGGTGAAGTAGCATTGTTATTAACCCTAATTTATGGAAAAAAATGCTGACAGAGAAGAATACCCTGCTGTGTGGTCTCAAGTGATAGATATATTTATTCATTTCCAACACTGCATAAACACCTTTTTTAAATTCTATATAAGAATCATGCTATGATTTATTATATAGATTTTAAAATCAATTATATTTTCATGTGAATTACTTTGTAATTTTTTCACATCAGCATTACAGTTTGTACTGATTTACAGACAATATTATGCAATGAGATAATAATGAATTAAATATCCTCACTAGATTAAAGAGCCATATTGTTGAATCGATATTTTTCTAAACACATATTTGAACACAGATACATAACTATTTCAGCAAATTTTATTCAATTTTTTTTTGTTTTTAGTAAGCTAATAATTTCAGAATCAACTTTGCATCTCACAAAACTTCTTATTTGTCTCCAACAAATGTTTTTCAAGCTTTACTTTATTGCCCAATTGTACCAAAATCCAAGTACAAGAATTTTAATATTTTTTATCTGAAAAAGCAACAAATTTTTACTTTTGATGTTTTGTCCCCTATTATCCCTTTAATCCTTTCTTTACATACATGGGAACAATACGTATATTAGACATCAAATCTAGGGTGATGTCATCCCCAAGCTTGGAAGTCTATCTGCCCTGCATGCCAAGTCCATACCCTAACATATTGTAAGCATGACCTGTCAGAGTCCAGGCAAGCTATACCTCAGCCAATTGCAGTTCACACTAATATTCCATTCTGACAATCTGTTCCCCAAGCCTGGAATAATTTTTAGCATAATACCTTCTCTTTTCTCATTATCTTCTTCCTCCTCTTCCCCTACCCTCCTTCTTCTTCATTTATTTCTTAAGTACTTTAATAACTATTTGTTTGCTGTGATGGTATTGAGAGAATTTGGGAAAAAAAAATTTGAAGTCATTTATCATGTATAGTATGTAATTAATATGTAGGATGTGCAGGTCTGTATACATCTAACGAAAACAAAAACTTTATACGTATACACACGTATATGCAGACATACATACTTTATACATACATACAAGCAATACACACACACATATACACATACATATATATGCCATTGAGAATTAACATTATAGGTAGAAAAGTGTGTAAAAATGCAAACAGGAGCTTAGGTTTGCATGTATATATATATATATATATATATATATATATACACATATGTATATATATATGTGTATACATATATATATATATATATATATATATATATATATATATATTTCTGAAAGGACTTGCATATTTTCTCTGCCTATCACCATCATTCTGAAAAATAGCATAATTTTTTTCATTCAGATAAATAGTTAAAATTACATGTTTTGTAATGTATATAATTTTCCCTCCTTTCACTAGGTAGAAAATGCTTACCTGTGTTCTCCTACTGTGAAGACTTGGAATCCTCAGACCACTACAGCTTTGATTCTCCAAGTGCTTCAGGATGTAAATGTGGTCTGATCTTTCCCTGATGGGCAGTTAAATCATGGACTCGCTGAACAATTTACTTTGGACTGTCCTTCCAAAAGATGCTTTTGCTTCTCTCTTGAATGCTCATTAAGCATTTGTGGCTGACAAAGAAGAAAAGGAAAACCGTGAACTGGCAAGTTATCTTACAATGAAAATTACGAGCACATCTTGCATCTGTCCAGTCCTAGTGTGTCTCTGTTTTGTGCAGAGGTGTTATGGAACTGCTCACCACAGCTCCATCAAGGTGACCAGAAACCAAACCAAACACATTGAAGGTGAAACAGAAGTCCACCATCGTCCCAAAAGGGGATGGGTGTGGAATCAGTTCTTTGTTTTAGAAGAACATATGGGACCAGATCCACAATATGTTGGAAAAGTAAGTTTTTTTAAAAAAATTTGTTTCCTATAGTTTGTTTTTTTTTTCCTCTCCTGAGAAATTGTGTGGTGAGATGAGAATGGAGTTGGATACGATTTGAAACATGAAGTGATTTTTTTTTTTTAATAGAAAGCTATACTTTGTATTGGAGAGCTTGAGGTATTTGTAAAAAATGAACACTTTCAATGATATTGCATCTCTTTTAAATCTTTTCCAGAATATTGAAATGTGCATCCTTTACCAGAACATTAGTGACTTTTTTCTTTTCTTAAGTAGGAAGGCTTAGTCAAAAACACAATTAAATTATTTTATAATATTGCAAAAGTACATTAGAATATGCAATGTCACTTATTGAAGCATTTATGTTTATTGGTAACTTTTTATCTCTTGCTAGTGCACATGAGGCTAAAAAGTTACTATGAACATAATATCTAATATGTTTCTGGTGATTGTTACAGAAATATATTCTTAATCAGCCTTTCGAAGACATGGATATTTTTCTAATTCCCAAAAATTGTTGATAGATTTAAATACAGAGTAAATATGCACTAGTAATATGGGGTTTGAGAAAATCCCAAAATATTATGGGACAGAATAACCAGTGATATCAGAATAAGTTATCTTTCTTTAAAAAGTACAGATAAGAAAATTCAGTGGCTTATCCTTATCTTCAGAAAACTGTCTACTCAGTAGCATGGGAGAACTTAGGTATATGTCATTTAGGTTCTAGAATAGAGTAGGAGGTTGAAAAGCTTAATTCTGATTAATTACTGATCTCTGGAAGCAGCACACAGATTTATTCTGTTACCTATGGTAGAAAGCAAGCACAGCAGTGGAATCACCGTGACCACAGTGGCTCAGTGGCTTCTGTTACCCTGATTGACTGTTTCTTCTCATTTTAGCACTATTACTGAGGGGGAAAAAAAAAAAAAAAAACTATTCCATTCAAACCATGGTACTTTCCTTATGTGTAGACAGTTCAGGATCACAAACCATGTCTTCTACCCCTGGTCCAACAAGACTGTTATCGCAGCTGCATTTTCCATACAACACAGGAGCCATGGTGTCAGAAACATAAGAAAATATCTGAAACAAGTCTATCATTTCCTCATATGCATAATAAAATGAGACAAATGACTCATGTCACTGTATGCTAGTTTCCTCTACAAAGTGTTGTATAGAAGACATGAAAGCAAAGGCACTAATATTAATACAAAATATATTGAATTATTAGAAAATCATTTTTGTTTTGAAATGCAAAATACATTTCTATAATCATTTCAGTTCTTGAAAAGAAGAAAATAATTGGGAACCGACAGAATTTTTTCTTTTGGTGAGAAATAAGAGAAAGACATTTTATTATCAATTTATTATGCTTATTTCTTTTCATTTTAATTTCACTAAATAACAAATAAAATTTTCTGGAAATGGGAGAGAATAGAGCAGATAAATTTTATTTTCTTTTGGCATGCTTAGTTTTGGTAGAAGATAAAAAATTAATCAGAAGATGGATTCTAAACAAATGTTCTGAGATTGGGGGGTGATGAATATATGAATGAGTGCACCTCACAGATCTGTATGTGGTAGAGGCTTGTGATCTATTGCACTCAGTGCAGGACCTGTGAAATTGTTATCCATTTAACTTTTTTGTAGTATCAATGGACAGATGTATGTGCATGAAGGGCCACATTAAGGATGGCCCAACTTATATGAAATTTAAATAATCAGCGCTAGTATACAGCCACAACCATTCATTTATGTATTATGAGGGCTGCTTTCATTTCACAATAGCAGACTTCAGTAAAGATGAAACACTGTGGGACCCACAAATTTGAAGATTTTTAGCCTTGGCCATTTATAGAAATGTTCTTGAGCTCCTGGGTAAAATGTTTGCCACATAGTGTACTGGGTGTGAATGCCTTTGGGTGCAAGTACTGAGATTTTTATTTTTATGCATTGACCTTTACCAATATGTCAAATGTAGTAATTCACAGAAAAACATACCATGAGTTACAGGCTTTGTAACCATGTTAATGATTATGATAATTATTTGAAATTATTGGAACAAAAATCTTTCTGGTCAGTGTTTTTTTTTTTTTTTTTTTTTTTTTTTTTTTTTGAGTTAAAAGTGATTTAATGAGGGCAGAACAGGGAAGATTCACTTGACCCTCTCCCAACATCCTCTTCAGATTAACCCTGAGACCCTGGAAGACCTACTCATCCAGTGAGACTTGCAGTCACCTTCAGAGGCTCAGGAACCTTCCATAGTTGAATGTGAGGGATATCTTTTTGGGGGGTTCAAAGAGGGAAGGATGATGACTCATGTTAATCATAAGGTCAACAGAAAAATGGGACTCCTGAGCAAAATGGAAAAGGGACATCCAGTGGTTGCCTCTTCAGGGGTGTGGCTGTGACCATGTTACTTCTGCTTTGTCTTCTGCTGAGCTGGTGTTGGAGTGACTGTTGAGGGGCAGGACTCTGGCACCTTGGGTTGGCAGGGCTCAGGCACCTTGGATTGGCAGGGCTCTGGCACCTTGGATTGGCAAGGCTCAGGCACCTTGGGTTGGCAGGGCTCAGGCACCTTGGGTTGGCAAGGCTCAGGCACCTTGGGCTGGCAGGGCTCTGGCACCTTGGGCTGGCAAGGCTCAGGCATCTTGGGTTGGCTGGGCTCTGGCACCTTGGGTTGGCAGGGCTCAGGCACTTTGGTGTGACAGGGCTCCTTGGTTTGGGGAACACATGGTTCCTGGGGTGGAGGCTGGCAAGGCTGCTTCATCTGGTGCTGCTGCAGCTGAGGGGGTAGGGCGCAGGGCTGCTTCTGCTGCTCAGAACTCATGCTTGCACTGCCCATTCATTCGTTATTCAGCCAGTCGTCCACAATGGCCAGGTCCACGTCAGGCACCAGGTGAAGAAGCTTGTGGACCAATGGCTATTGGGACACAGTGGTAGACTGACACGGACTCAAGTAAGTCCACAGGAGGTGACCCGGCCAGCAGATGCTCCACCAACAGTAGGTGTGTGTTTGGGGAGAGGAGGGGCGGGATGAAGAAGAGGAGCCATCTACATGCCAGGGTATTAAGGCCCAGCCTTACTGAAGCATGGTCAGTGGTTTTATTGACAAGAGTTTTCAGAGGTCTTCACTATTTTTATTGGTGTACCTTCCTGTGTAGTTTACTTAGAAAGTGCTTACTAGTCGACTTTGTTGTTCTTATTTTGTTGCTATTACATGCAAAAATAGAACAAATAACCCTCTATGCACATTATTTAGCATACATATAGGTAGAACTATAAGAGAGATTTAAAAAGTAGGATTCTATTCACATATAAATAATATAATCTTGGAAAAATCACTAGATCCCTTTTAGAGGTGTTGAAGTATTTTATACTTTTATCAGTGGTGTATTAAAATGAGTGATTTTCTTCAGGTATGCTTTCAGAGATAGTTGTAAAACTTGGAGTTTTGCACATATGATAGGTGAAAAATAATATCTGTGCACTTTTAATTTGCATTTCTCTTATATTTATCAAATGCAGTCACTATAAGAGAAATGCAAATTTATTTAGGAGAGTTTTTTAAAATTTTATTCCTTAATTTGATATTATTTTCTTGCTGTCTTTAACATGGTAGAGATATATTGGTATATTCATAGAAATATATTAGTTTTTTAAAGTAAGGTATTAATAATTTTTCATATTTGTTTACTTTTTTGAATTGATTATGCTATTTTCTTTAGTAGGAATTTAATATTTTAATAGACAACAAATTCTTATCACTTTTTGGTTTAACCTGCATTTTATTTGATATGTAATTTCTGAAGTTTGAGTGAGCTGGACTTCAGAATAAGAGACGTTCAGAATAAAACATTCTTTGGTCCTTAATGTCTTTAGTTTATCACTCATATTAGAAAGATAACTTATCAAATAAAAATAACTATTAAAAGTAGAAATCTTATGGTAAAGATATTAAGCTACAATTTAATATAAACTATTTGGTGATTAAAATATGAATTTAGGGCTATATTATATGTAGAGATCATATTTACCAGCAAAATATATACAAGATGTGTAGTTTATAATTACAGAATGTGTTGATCTCATTGGTAATATTTAGGAATGTTTAAATGCATGCAATTGATACAGTTTAAAAAGATACATTAAATTGATAATCTATTAAAACAAATCTGCTTATAATATGCTTCATATTATTTAATCAGTATCTGCTTATGATTACATAGATATTATACTCCATAAATACATATTATATTCATTTCAGTAATGTAGACAATTTATGTAACTCACCATATATATTTAAGAAAGGAAGATATGTTTATTACAGAGTGTTTGTGCATAGACATTGTCCTCATCACACAATCTGGCAATTAAATAGAGTAGAAGTAAGCATTATAAACAGGAGAAAGACCAAAAAGTGTGTTTCTGTATAGCAGCATGGTTTAAGCTAAAATCATCTAACCTACATAAAACTTTTTCTTAGCTATTTGGTATACTGAAATTAAAGATAGTTTTGATAGTAATAGGAGTTTTCATTTTTTTCCTGAATTAAAAAATGGATTATATTCTCCACAATCACTTTTTTATATTTAGGGAATATTTTCCTACAATTTAGTATTTTCCCTTGATTATAAATCATAATATGATGAAAATATTACTTATGTCTGTTGAGAACTTGACTTCTAAATGTCTCTCATTCTCCTTTCCACTTGTGACTATACATATAGGAGTGGATGAGTGTAGATTGAAGATAATTACTGCCAACTTGCTTTGTTAAACAAAAACAGCAAAAGTATAGTGAATAAGGAAGGAAGTCTAACAGTATAAAGGAACTAAGAAATGGCTTTGCAGAATTACTCCAGGAGAAAAAAGCAATGATGTGAACAGAACTTGTCTTGGCAGTGTCAAGGAATAAAATCTAAGATAGCTGATTCTTTCATGAAAATCACTTTCCAGTATATGCATCAGGAAATTCCCCTCTCTTCATAATGATTATTGCAATTTTTCTGTAGTTATTCATTTTTTTACTTAGAGGATAACCAGTAAATGTCTTTTAATACTGTGTATTCAAATTAAATGAATGACTTTCAGGTTGTAGAGAGAATAAATCATGAAAAAAATTGGTAGAAAATTTCAGTCTTTTCAGAAAAAAATAGCTTTAATGTCATCATGAACTCTGAATTAAAAAGTAATGCACAGCACAAATGGTGGCAATTGTCACCCAATATTGTCCAAAAGATAATTTTTTTTCACTTTTATCATAACTTCATTGGAATGGAAAAATCCATGTATCAGAATATGACTTTTGAGTCTTATATATGACAATGTGATGACATAATGTCATGTGGACTTAACTATGAGTCACAGTTCTTCTGTGCAGATACAAACATTTTTTAGTCATCATATAGAAATTTATCTATTTGGATCTAGACCTAAAAGAAACTGGATTCAAAACCAGGAAATTTATTTGATAGATATAGCATTCATTTAATTTGCAGTGGTATAGGAGTTGCGTTATTTTTTTTTCATTGTTTTTTTTTTTTTTTTTTAATTTTTTGATATAGTAGATTCAACCTCAGAATGCCTTGTTACTGAGCTACATCACCAGTTATATTTTATTTTGAGACAGGGCCTCACTAACTTCCTGAGGGTTTTGAAAGATTCTGAGGCTTTCACAAACTTGCTGAGTCTGATATCAAATTTATGATCTTCTTTTCTCAGCCTCCTAAGTCACTGGGATTTCAAGCATGTGACATTTTGCCCTGCAAAACTTCTTCTTTTTTTTAAATGAATTAAATAAGATTTTATTGTTAATTATATTTTTAGAGAATAAGTAGTATTTTATTTGAATAATGTAGAAAACATTTAAATTCATAAATGTATTTCCCAATGTCATCAGTGCAAGACAATACATATTAAAAACAGCCTATAAATATGTATTCACATTGTAAACCTCATATTACTATAAAAACACATTCTCGTGTGTGTGTGTGTGTGCGTGTGTGTGTTGTATTTGTATATCAATGGTGATGAAACATATTTTTTTTTTCCTCAAAGGGCATTTTGCTATAGTTGAAGACTTTTTTTTTTTCCGCTGTAGTCTCCTTGTCTATTAGCTACCATTAGCACTGGTACAAGAGTCCATAATACTTAAAAAGCCTATGAAAATGTTTTAATTCACTTTCAAAGTAGAATAAAAAGATGAAAATGAGTATATTTAGTTTGTATTCTCTTGATCTTTCTATCAACATAATTATACATTGATTTTTTAACTAAAAAAGGCCCTAATAGGCAAAAAGACCAATGGTCCATGAAAATTCTGGAGGCATTTCTTCTTTTCGTGAAAGGCACTGAGTATTGAACCTAGGGGTGCTTAACACTGAGCAATATCACTTTGAAGTTGATCCTCCTACCTCAGCCTCCTGAGCCAATGGGCTTACAGGCATGCACCACCACACCCAGAGGCATTTATGAGATTTAGTTGTGACTCTTCAAGGGGTGATGCAGCTGTTCTTTGGTTAGTAGAGCCCAGGAGTACAGCTAAAGATTCTGTAACACATAGGACAACTCCCCCACAAAGAAATTTCTGACCCCAAATTGAAATAGTGGCAGGGTTGAAAAACTTTGTATAAGTGTACATTAAATGCACATGTATGTGCATGTGCATACATGTAAACAGGCAAGATTTATTTGTATGCTTATGCAAAATGTTTTATCAAGTGCATAATTAAAATCTGGAAAACCATTCTAGATAATATCAGTAAACATGGGTGCTGGAGTGATATTGATTGAGTCACAGAAATGTTTGATTTACTTATATTATTTAGTTTAAAATAGGAATTCATTAACTATATTACTTTAGTAATAAAAAATGCATTTCAGAATTATAAATTTACAAATTCTATTGAGTGTTGATTATCAAAGTCATGGTAGCAAGAGCCTCTTTCTTATCTAAGAAAAATTTATTAAACAAATCTGTTCTATTAAAGGAAAGTTTTCTATCATCCTTCCTGATTTCTTAAGTTGCACCAACACCACCAGGATAGCACAAACAATGACACTCTCAGAGGATGATTTTGTTTGATTTTGCCTTGTTTTATTTGTTTTCAATGTATTTATTTATTTTATTTGCAGGAAAAAAACAGGTTTTTCTACTATGAAGTCTGTTAGAGTTGGATTTTGGCTCCTTAATAATAATTATCAAAACAATGGAGTTCTGATTTAAAATCCCATACCCCAAATGTGCTCATTAGTATGTATCTTCCTATTTATCTTTTTTTGCAATCTAATTAGTTATACATGATAGTAAAATGCTCTTGGACAAGTCATACATAAATAGAGTATAACCTCTTATTCTTCTGGTTGTACAGAATTTCATTCTTTAAGGCTGAGTTATACTCAATTGTGTATATATATATACCATATTTTCTTTATCCATTCATCTGTTGAAGGACACCTAGGATGGTTCTATATTTTAGGTGTTGTGAATTGAGCTGCTATAAATATTGATGTGGCTGCACCATGGTAGTGTGTTGATTTTAAATCCTTTGGGTAGAAACTGATGAGTGGGATAACTGGGCAAAATGGTGGTTATGTTATTTTAATGGAATATTGTACTCTTTTTCTGACATAATGCCAAGTCATACTAATAATCAAAAATGACAAGGTAGGATCATTGCACTCTTAATTCAAATATTGTACATGTGTGCTTTCATTTGTGGGATAGGTGATAAAATATTTTATTGCAATTTCATATATATCATTTTTTTGATTTTATACCTTCAAGTTAAGTTCTGGAGTAGAGTTCAAAATTATATGTTTCATCTA